AGCAAAAACAAGATCACATTTATGCTTCGAGGTCCTGAAACTTGACTTTTGGCTTAGAAAAGTTGTGAAAGTAAAGCACGAATGGTGAAAAAAACACGATCATGTTTTTCATAAAACGCACGATTCATACATGAACTCTTCACTTTCAGCAAATCCAACCCAGGTTCCAGACTCCTCAGGTATTTTAGCACAATTAAGCTCTAAATATGCATCCAAACTACTTCCAAATCACTGTTCCGCTCGAAATATTTGAAAAAAAACCATAAAAACTTGAGCAGTACAAGAATTCTAGCGATAAACATGAGTTGAGCAATATTTAAACTAATGTACATACAAATACATAAAATATGATGCGAAATGTAATAAAAACCAATGTAAAATGTGCATAAAATGACATCTGTCAATGACTGATTAACTCTTATCAAATCCATTTTGGGGAGTCTTGGTATTTATTTCTTCTTCATGTTTCGTCTACCTACCACAACTTATCATGTTTTGGAGCGCAATAGATCTCGATTTTTTCCGGGTATGGAGGAGATTAACAACATATTCAATGGGTCAAATGAGATGTTTCTCTTAATTCTAAAGAGAAAGGAGGGTTGAATATTAGTAATTTCGATTCTTTCAACTTGGCCCTGTTGTATAAATAGAAGGTGAAGATTCTTTTTAGAAGATAAACTCTCTTTGGGTTAGACTTATTAAATGTTGTTATGGGGAGTATGGCAGTTTCAAGGGTGGTTCTGAGCTTTTTTTTTTTTTTTTTTGTGTGTATATATATATATATATATATATATATATATATATATATATATATATATATATATATATATGTGTGTGTGTGTGTGTGGGTGTGGGTGTGGGTGGGGGGGGGGGGGGGGGGTGGCATAAAACTGTTTGCTCTATTAATCAATTACATGCACGTAATGTTATCTCAAATAACTTTATGGCTATACACTTGGGAATGGTTCTATAACTAAATTTTAGACTGATGTTTGGTGTTGGGGTTTGATTCTTAAGGACCAGTTTAATAGGCTCTTTGCTTTGTCCACATCGAGAAGTTGTTGGGATTGTTGAGTTATATGGTTTTGAATTCCAATATGGATAAATGGGGTTGGGGTTTGGATTATATTGGTGTTTTTACACTCAAGTCGGCTAGGAGGTATATTTATGATCATTGTTTGTCGGTGGGAGGAAGGGTCACTAAATGGAATAGATTTGTTCCGATAAAGATTAATATTTTTTTAAGAAAATTGTTGTTGAATAGACGCCATCTTTCTTGTAATTTGGTGGAGAGTTGAGTGGAATTGTCAACTTTTTTAGAAAATAATATGCATTTGTTATTTCAATGTTCTTTGGCCGTTTAAATATGGAGTTGGGTTGGGATGAGGCTAGAGTTACAGATTCCAGACTTTGTTGGGGTGATAATTTTTTTTGATTTGGTTGATGCAAATCTGGACTGTCTGGTGGCTAGAATGGAGCGATCGATTGTGGAGTCGATTTTTATGAGTATCGGTCATTTGGACGTACCTAAATTCTATTTTATTTTGGTCATTCGATTATAGGAAGCAATCTGTTTTTGATAACATTATTGAAAATTATTTTCGTTGGTTTACTTTACGGAATTCCAAGGCTATGATTAATTGGATGGACCGGATGAGAAATTCAATCCTGCCTTAATTTTGTTATTTTGCTAATCTTTAGCTAGCCTCTTTGTTTTGAAATAAAATTGTTGTTATTCAAAAAAAATATTACAGTTTTCCTTGACGTAACAAAAATAATATATTTTTTTTCTTTTAATAAGAAACTATATGTAGTTTAATATTGGAGAAATTAAATATCTTTTTAACTTTTGTTCTTACAAATCTTCTTACCAAAATTAAATGGTGATATGTGTAACATTTAATAAAAGTTTAGTATAGTAATATAATACACGTTATCATTTAATTAGGTAGGAGGATTGATAGGAACAAAATTAATTCGTAGAAAAAAATTATTTTGCATTATTAATAATGCAAACATTTCTAGGCCTAGGCCTAGACTATTCTATTCTAACTAATTATTGTGTTATTGTATAAATGATTGTCGGCCAATCATTTGATATAATTTAACAAAGTGGTTATTACATATTATTGAATTAAATATAATTGAAAAATACCATCTAATTTAACTAGAAGGTTATTTTAATCAGTTAATATAGATTTAATAAACGAAATTTGCATATTTTAAGGAAAATTGCATATTTTAAAGGAAAATAGATTCTATTAATTTTAAAAATCTGATTGTATGGATGATAATTCTATTAATTCGGAAATTCTGACGGAATATGTTTATCAATATATAGAAAAAATAACAAAAATTATTGAACCATACAAAAATACACCATCTGATATAATATATATTTTGATTTAATGAACTTCTTGAAGAATAACAAAATTTTGGATACAAGTTAAAAAAAAATTCATTACATTCTTAGAAAAGAAAAAATATATATATACTATTCTCTGAGAATGTTACACTTATTAATAACAAAGAAATACAAATATATAAATCATTCTACCAGAATATACTATTATTCTGTTAGAATAATCTATTCTTTTTGGAAGATTGGTGACCATTGTTCATCTTTATCCTGTGTAATAACCCATTCGATGTCCCCTCTTCCATCTATATTTTCCTGTCAAAAATCAAAATCAAACACCAATTCTTCCCAATGATTTATGTTCAAAAAATAAAAAAAAAATGTAGCAACTAATCAAGTAAAATATAACAGGTAAAGCATAGAATTATTCCAAGTTTCACTATGACCAAAATCACACTTAAGTTCTGTTTCTCCTATTGGTCCTTCCATTGCAGCCATTCTACCTCCTAAACACTCAATAAAAGATTAAACTCAAATAAAATCAAGACTCCATTCTAAAATAATATATACAAGGATAAAAAGTTTTTGTGAGATATGGATGATCAAGAAACACCCATCAATTCACTGTAAAACATCAACACTAAATATCAATTCCTTCATCAGATTGTGTCAAAACAAACAAAGAAAAAGGAATTTTCATTGTTCTTTTGTTCCTCTCTATCAATTTCTGTCAAACACAAATCCAAACATCCATCTTTATCATACATTGATTCCTATCCCCCCCCCCCCTCCCCCCCCCCCCCCCCCAAAAAAAAAAAAAAAAAAAAAAAAAAAAAACGAGGCTGCTAAAGCAAACCCCATGCTCATCTGTTTCATTGATATTTCAATGGAGCTATTGCTAGATCAAGATAAAAAGAGAGAAAAAGAACAGGGGAGCTGCCATAGCAGCCCCCGTCCACGCACCTTTCAACCACTGAGAGCAAAACCTACCGAAGTGGGTGTTTCCCCGAAGCAAAACCAGTCGACGACAACCCCCTCTGATCCCTCGACCTCTTTCCTGCCGCGACGATGCTGCTGCCCTACCCCATCCCGTTCTTCCCTTCAGCACGTCGAACCCAGGAGATCACATCGCTGCTTTTTCACGTCTTCGATGCTTCGGCCTCATCGAGCCCCAGAGTCAACGATCCTCCTCCTGAAGGATCGACCAGTTCCTACGGGGGGTTTAGGATAAAATCAAAACTTTGGATCGTGGTGGTAATTAAAAGGCGGGGGGTTAGGATAAAATCAAAACTTTGGATCGTGGTGGTAATTAAAAGGGGATAAATTAGGTTCAAATCAACTAGCATAATTATAGGAAAGTATTTGAGGAAGTTGTTTATAAAATTACCTAATTACTCTTATTTATTTATTTATATTTTATATTTTGATTGACCCACATTTATACATAAGACACTAAATATTTAAACAAAGGAAAATAGCTCAAAATTTCTATGATATAAACATGGTACTCCGTTTCCGTTATATGGACCAAAATTTCGGCGTGTTCCGTAGATTGTCTTTGCCGATGGCTACCTTAATACTCATTTGTTCCTTTGCAATTAATTCTCTTAAAAGAATATTTCGAATTTTTGTCTTCCAGTCTGACACCGCATGTTGGTCGTCTTTGTCGATTTCCCTTCATCCTCATCGATTCACTGATTACTGGTTCCTTCATACTCATCACCTTCCACCTCTACCTCTAGTAGTACTACTTCCGGCTCTTATTTCGCTTCCACCACCACCGCCGGTTGCTCTAGTAAATCATGTCGCAGAAGCGGCAAAAGCAGGACGATGTCAGTACTTCTTCACAGGAAGAACAGGAACAAGAACGGGAACATCAGTCGTTTTCCGATGCGGCAGCCCGTCGTAAACGTCCTTCTTTCAGAAAGTAACTCCGTCAAACCCTTATTCACCCCCCCAATTGAATATGTTTGTTTTTGGTTCGTTAATATTACTCGATTAAATCTGTTTTTTGTGGTGTTGTATACGATTCCTAGCCACCGCGTATTTGTTTTAGCGGGATTCATGCTTAATTTGTTACTTTTAGGAATCGTAATTGACTTTAGAAGATTCAGAGAAAAGTAACTATTTAATCTTGATATATACAGTGCAGTGTTGGAGGTGATGAAGTTCTGTACAATCCACAAGTATGTGGAGCCAGTTTTGGAGCCCTTGATCCGCAGAGTAGTATGTAACAAGATCTTCTTAATTTCTTTTCATATCCATTTTGAATCCAACACTATATAAGATATACTTATATTGGCATTGATGTATATAGCAAACAATGAACAACAAAATACGCTTACTACTTACTTGTCCTACTTATTTCATTTAATGAACTTCTTTATTGCTAATTAGATAACTATACCCGGGTACAGGTGAAAGAGGAAGTTGAAATGGCATTGGAAAAACATTTTGCACACATGAAGTGGTAAGGCATGAATGCATGATGAATACGACTTTTATGTAAGACTACTAACGTATGTTCTTTACACAGGGATTGTGAGGATGAGATAGAATCTTTTCACCCAAAGAACTTACAGTTACAGTTCCTAAGTGCTCTATCTCTTCCAGTTTTTACCGGGACCCGTATTGAAGGAGGAGACTGCAACATGCTAAAAGTAGCATTAATCGATGCTCATACTGGGAAAACAATTTCCAGTGGGATCGAATCATCAGCAAAAGTGGAAATAGTGGTTCTTGAGGGAGACTTTGGTGATGATTCTGATGACAATTGGACACTTGAAGACTTCAGTGCTAACATTGTTAGAGCGAGACGTGGGAAGAAACCACTTCTTCATGGAAATGCACTTTTGAATCTTAAAGAAGGCATAGGTTTAGTGGGTGATCTTTTTTTTACAGACAATTCAAGCTGGACAAGGAGTCGGAAATTTAGACTGGGAGCACGGGTTTTGGACAATTTTGATGGAATTCGAGTGAGAGAAGCAAAGTCGGAGTCTTTTGTTGTCCGAGATCATCGTGGGGAACGTAAGTTTATTTAATAATTTCGATCACTCTATGTGATTTGGAATGTAAGGGTAAAATGATCATTCAGTCTAGTGAAAAAACATAATACCTTATGTATACAAGACTAAAGACTTATCGGGAAAAAAAACAACCTCTAAATCATGTCCACATTAAGTTTATCAAGTCAAAAAGAAATTTTAATAAATATGACGATGTGATTTTTCTTGGTTTTTAGTATACAAGAAACATCACCCACCGTATCTGTCTGATGAGGTATGGAGACTTGAAAAAATCAGCAAGGATGGAGCTTTTCACAAGAGGTTGAACAAGGAAAAAGTCAAAACAGTCAAAGATTTCTTAGTTCTTTACTTTCTATACCCTGCAAGGCTTCGACATGTAAGATGTTGCATTCTTTGTATTATTTTGCTCATAAAGTTTGTATTTTTAACCGATTTCTTATCATTGCAGATTCTAGGATCCGGTATGTCTGCTAAAATGTGGGACGTTGCTGTGGAACATGCTACAAGATGCGTGATAGATGATAACAAATTGTACTTGTATTGTCCTCAATCTCATCAAAGGGATGGCGTTGTGTTCAATATTGTGGGACAAGTCCTTGGACTTCTTTCGAATTGCAAATATGTTGTTTCCAACAAACTTTCAGAAACCGAAAAGGTTAGTGTCTCAGACAACGCATATTCTCTTTCGTTATTGTTGCGTTTGTTACATGACACAGTACAACCTGTTCTGTTCTGTTATGTTCTGACAACTTGGAAAAATGGTTATATAGACGGAAGCCCACAAGTTGGTGATATATGCATTTCAAAACTTGGAGAAAGTTGTTTCCTATGATGATGAAGCATCTCTTACAACCGGAACTTGCTCTTTAACCGAAGATATAGGAAATAACAATTACCTTCCAAAAGGCCGATTTGATTACCCACAGATGAACGCGCCATCTCCAAGTGAATACGAGTCGAATCAAATGGGTTCAATCAATGTTGGATTTGATGAGCCTATGGACTTCGAATGCCATGTTGACAACACCTTGATTTGTGATCCGAGCTCAACCATGCATTTGCAATATCTTGGTACTTCTTCTTCTCCACCCGGTGATTTGCAGTGTGCGGTTGATAGGTTTTTGTTTCCGTGTTCGGGCATGGGGAAAGCTCAGAGGAGATGGAAGATTGTGTCGAGTGTTGTAAAGTGGTTCTCACTTATGTTAGAGATACGCAAAGGGGATTTATCGTCAAATGCTCGATTGGTGGATGAAAATACTCGGTTTTAGAGCGAGTTAAAGTTCAAATTTATGGTTTCTTGTGTATATACAAACACCACAGCAGGTAATTTTTTCAACTCGGGACCTTTTATCAAACTGCAAAAAGTATAAAACGATAACAAAAAAAACTGTTTTCTAAGAGTGAACGATTATTGGACATATCAATCACTGATTAGATTATATGTTCTATGATTTGGGTGTAGAAGGTGTGATTTGGCTGAGGTGATACGATGTTGCTCTATTCGTGTACATTACATGCAGGCTGGAGCATAAGCAATGCTTTTAGATTGTTGATTGAATGGAGTATGATGGTGCTAGAACTTGTTACCCCGTTGGCCAAATTCTGATCCCCAATACACGAAAAAAGATCTTTCAAATGTTGATCTACTTTCCATGTTGGAGTTGGCATGGATCTAAGAAGTTAATAAAAAAAATGAAAAAAAAATTGGTGTAGCAAGATCATTTGAATGTACATACTTGAAGTTTTTTTTATTCATTCTATTTGTGCGAGAGATTTGGCAGTTGAGGACCGTTTGGGTGTAATAAAATATAATTGTTATTTGTTTCATATGATCAACTTTAGTTTATAAAGAAAATTGAAGTATGATTCTATATAGAGAATAACTTGGTCATGCTATTGCCATGTAAGGTTAAAAGGAACCCTTAAGCATTTAGTTGCGGAAAAATAAACCGTTTTATGGAATAATTTTATAAAAAAAAAAAAACGAGATTTTTGAAAAGGTGCTTAAGTAAACAAATTTTTAAAAATTTCGGATTTCCAAATTTACAAAGGAACTTAGAAAATTTTAGAAAAATGATAATTATTGTTTTTCAATTCTTTTAATTCCAAAAGGTTAAATCTAAACACTCACCGACTTTAATGCTACCCTTTCCACCTTAATTACATCTAAATATCAAAATGTTTAAGATTGGATTTTGAAACTATAAATTCCAATAAATTTCTCATTTTCCATATGTAATTGTGACACATCAATGCATCTAGACGCAACCAATTTGAAGATATTGGAAGGAATGATTGACAACATCAAATCCCCACTTGATAGCCACTTGAAGTGGCCATGATTTGAGCCACTTGAAGTGGCCATGATTTGGGTATACTGAAACAACCCAAAATCGTCACTTCGTCGCCACTTGAAGTGATGATTTTTGAACAATATGATCATTTTCTCTTGATGCTTTTCTTTAAAAGACGAATTTTACGTTAAGTTGTTCCCTTTTCTCATCTAGGCTATTTTTGGTGATTTTTCTTGCTTTGATTTGTACACTTGGAAAGGGTTGTAATGCATCGTTGCAATATACTAGATGTAATGTCCGATTTTTCAGGTAAAACTCTTAGCAATGACTTCATTTATTTTCTTGTGTTAGACCCGGGTATGCTGGGTGTACATAAGGTACGTTGGGTGTACTCCTATGCATGCATGAGGTGGGAAGTTGTAACGTACCACAAATTATGAGGTAAAAATTTCATGTTAATTCAATCAAAACATTAATTATCTTTAAGCCAAACATTCATTATTTTTTTTTCTAAATATTCAAAAGTACTTTATAGGAAAACAATTATCAAAGTACAATCCCAAAATCATCATAATGTGGAAACATGGGTGGATGCGCTGCGATCAAACCATGCCTTTCACTTTTGAACCGGAAGTACCTAAAACTATAACCATAAAAACCGTAAGAAAAAAGCTTAGTGACTTCCCCAATATACCACATACCATACATACATACAACCAAACATATATGGGTGCTTGCAATCCCCTTTGGTCTATTTCAACCGGATACCGGGTCTATTTTACCCCTATCACTACTGTACATATCAACATATAGTGGACCCTGCCCGATATCGGGCCTCACTCGGTATACAGATCTGTCAGTCATCAGACCTCGCCTGACATCAGGCCCCGCTCGGTATACATATAAACATATAAGCATATAATCACACAAGCACATGTGATATCAAAAAGATAATAGCATACAATACAGTCATTGGGCCCCGCCCAACATCATGCTTTGCCCAGTAACATAATAAACCATGGAAAACCCGCTAAACACAATTAGGAAACTCACCTCAAGCTGCTGAATCACTCGAATGAATCTCAGATTGCTGGCCTGGAAAACCCGCGCTGTAAAAAACAATAACATCCGATTATTAATTGGATTACGACCCATAACCAAGTGCTAAGAACTCTTGGGTAACGATTTAGCTTTATGAAGGTTTTCATTCATTTGTTTTCCACTTACCAAAACTATAGCTTCCTCATACTCTCTCATATTCTCTCTTGCAAAGAAGTGTTAGAAGATTACTTGCTTGCATTTTGCTCTCTTTGTAACATTCATTTTAGATGACGGATTGCTAAAGTTTTAAATTTCAAGATTTAACCCTACTCACGACATGAGCCCTTGGGTGTCACGTCGTGAGGAAGTTGATGCAGTCGTGCATCATTTTTGGGCCTAACGACGTGAGAGTGTGATGGCTCATGACGTGAGGTAAGTCTAGGATGAAACCTTAATTTTGGGGTTTTGCCCCGTATTTAAAGGAAGTAAGGGTTAGGGTTAGCCCACTGATAGCTTCATTTTATTTACTTATTTTTATAGTTTATTTTAGTACATTTCATTCGCATTTTAGTTAACTTTCATGCATATTTTCCCTTTTGTTATTTTTATGACCATTTCGGGGTACTTTCTAGTTTCTTGAGCATTATTGCAGATTTTCTTGGAAACTAGCAGGGCGCCACTCTTGCGAGGTGATTGGGCTTGAAGGGAATTGGAGATTTCATGCTTGATGGCTATGAAGGTGATTCATGGGGTGGACTTGTCAATTGCTTGAAGGCTTGGAAGAATTGAGCTTTAAATTTGAAAGATGCGGGGGAACATTCAAGCGTATGAAAATTATTAATCGGGCGAGTTCACAACCCTTGGAGGATTTAGAGAGGTCAAATTGGGCTTTAAATGAAGAAAAACTTGAAGAAAATGGGCTAGGAGGTGATTGGATTCGATCTGGGCTAGTGGGATATGCTTTAGAGGCCCAAAATCTCAAAGGAGCCCATGTCAGGCACCACCCGCGCAACCCACCCGCGCAGCAGCACGCGGGTCGCGCAAGGCCCTGCAGGGGTAGTTTCGGAAATTCTTCTTTTGAGCTATTTGAGGAAGGTTGGTGCCCATCTTTTGCATACTCTTGGACATCCGATTTTTGAAGATTCTCTCTGGAGTTTTGAAGACTTTTGAAGGCCAAGAACCCTTGAAGAACATCATATTTTTACCTCTTGATTCTTGCTTAATGTTTGGTACAATTTTCTCTAACTTTGTTTCTTTGTGTTTAGCCATGCTTAGCTAAACTAATCTTGGTTGACTTTTGGTTAATCCTTTGAACTTTTGTTGAATGTTGAAGAATCCATGAACATGTTCTTGAATCTTTATGGGAATGTTTTGTGTTTTAACATCTTATCATTACTTGTATGTTTTAGTTCATGAGTTTAAATGTGTTTGTGGTGATTAGTTGGCTAATTTCTTGATTAAGTAAAGGATCCTCAAATTAGCAAGCAACAAATGATTTTTGTGTTGTTTTTGCTTCACACAATCATAAAACATTTCCTCCAACATGGTGGTGAAAGCATTTGACCCCTCTTGGATTTGGTGACTTTTTGGTTCTTAATGCTAGTTGACTTTCACTAATTACATGCTATTTGGAATTAGTGACTTTGACTAAGGAAATTGTTATGAGCTTCTCTAGACATTTCAACAATTAAGAAAAGTCTAGGTAATCTCAAGCTCCTTGGATTACTATAGCCAAATTAAGGATTTAAATCAAAGTATTGCACCATTGGATTCTAATGATATGTTCATCAAAAGTCAAAGTGAGGAAACTTTAAGTCAACCATCTCTCCCTTATTGATTTTACATCAAACTCTTATTTTCGTTGCATTTGTCTATTTAAATCATAGTTAATTCTAGTTTGTTTCAAGTATTTCAAAACACCAAAAACCCACCATTTTATTTTTATTGTCATTTTACAAGTATTTTTACAAAGAGATTTTTCATAGAGTTATAAATTGAACCAATCTCCGTGGATTCGATCCCTTTACCACTATACACTATTTTAGTGTGTAATATTTAGGGTTATTATTTGTGTTGGCCTCGACAACCACCACCCACCCTCAACCCCCATCACCTCCATACACCCCTTTTTGGAACCCTAGCACTCATATTTGATCTTGAGCTCATTTTTGGGTGATTTTAGCGTAGGAGAAGAAGAGGAAGAGCATCTAGCCCATCATTTCTACATTTAAGTCTTGCCATCAAGCACCCTCTCACGTTTTGGAGCCTTTGTGAGTTTCAATTTCATTGCTTTGTGAGTCTATAAGATTAGATATAGCTTTTTATGCTTAAATCCAACATTCCCATGATGAAATAGTGGTTAGAATCCTTAAAGTTAACAACTTTACGGATCTCTAATGCCTCTTGAGTATTATAAGTTCTAGATCTGGATTTTGGTGGAGTTTTATGACTCTTGCATGAAGATTTGGTATCATTTTCTAATATGCACTTAAGTAGTGTTTAGGACATGCATGTCCAAAAAGCAATGATTTTTATGATGCTCTGGAGTGGCAAAGACCCTAGGAAGGATTTAGTTGTTTGTAAAAAAAGGAATAAGAACTTCATTAAGAACTTTTGTTTAGGGACATTCTCACGACATCATACCCTAGATGTCACGATGTGAGGATGTCGATCCTCATCTATTTTGGACTTATTGGGTCACGACGTGACCATTAGAGGTCACATCGTGCAGCGGCGGAGACAATAGTGTGACATCCCCAATTTCACGGCCAGAAAAGACCGATTTGTTTATGCTCTTTTATATATATATATATATATATATATATATATATATATATATATATATATATATATATATATATATATATATATAAAATCAGAGTGATCGTTTAAAGAAAACGGTTGCGGAATTTGTTCCCAAAATAAAATATGATAACCATTTATCAAAACATTTCTCGAAAAAAATGTATTTTCGTTAAATAATAAAAAACTCGGGATGTCATGTTCGTTACAGACCAAAAGCATAAACAATATAAAATAGACCTTACAATAGTTATTCAACTACTGATCTATAACCCAAAATCTCTCGTCAAGTCCACCAACTTATACCCTTGTGCCATTACCTTTAATGAAAAGAAAACTGAGTGGGTCACGCTTGGGAGCCTGGTGAGTATATAGAGTTTTCAACCCACAATAATATAATTACTATATGTAATCAGCAAACAATCAACCCAATTACCCATCCCCATTATTTTCTTAAGGTTTTACCCTAAGAACCAACTATCCTTCATTCATTTATTCGTAAGGAATTTGGCACGAATTCCATTGCTGCCAAAGCTTATTTATCAAGTACTAAATCCATAGTTATCTGGCGCTAACTCCATAGTCACCAAAGTTCACTTAACAAGCGCTAACTCCATAGTCGCCAAGGCTTAATCAACAAGTGCTAACTCCATAGTCGCCAAAGTTTACTCAACGTGCGCTAAGTCCATAGTCGCCAAGGTTCATTAAATAGGCACGAAGTCACATCG